CCCCCAGCACACACCCCTGTGCTCTCTTGGGACAAACACACTGGGACCCATGCTACATAAGTGTTCTGGGCACACACAACTGCTGGCATTCGTGCCATAGGAAGAGTGTGATTAAGAAGGTACAGGCACATATCAAGGGAGGCAGGTTTCCAGCAAGGGCTATATGCATCTTGGCAGTTTTCCTACCATGCACATGCTATTTTATGGATGCACTCACCTCTTCAATTGCATGTGTTCCAAGGCCTGTGGCAAATAGACCTTTTGTAATGTGCTTGTCCATTCTGCTTCCCCTTTTCTCGTGGTCAAACAAAGGTGCATGCTAACAGGTGCATGCACCTGTATATATATGTATGCAAATCTACACTGAGACACTATCAACTGTGTGCCCGCACACTCACTCATGCCCTGTATTCCCTCAGTCTGCTACACTCATACCCACTTCTTTGTAACTACCTCCTGCACCTTTTTCATTGGTCTGCCGGGTGTTTCTAGTCCTCTCCTAGCCCGTGAGGAGGGCAGTCTCCAGATGCTGAGGCTCTGAAGGCTAATGCTTCTGGGCACGTCATCCCAGATTGCCCTCTGGAGGTTCCTGCTTCTTCTGCAGCAGTTGGTATTGGACAGGATCAGATATAGGAGCCTGTTTTAATCAAGGCTACCCCTATATCAGACCCATATTTCTCCTTGCCAGGGTATGTTCCTGTATCTGTTTCTTTCCCTGCGCTTGTCTGCTGCAATGTTCATCACCATCATCTCCTCTTCCTCCTCTTCCTCCTCTTCCTCCTCTTCCTCCTCTTCCTCCTCTTCCTCCTCTTCCTCCTCTTCCTCCTCCTCTTCCTCCTCCTCCTCCTCCTCTTCCTCCTCCTCCTCCTCCTCCTCCTCTTCCTCCTCCTCTTCCTCCTCCTCCTCTTCCTCCTCCTCTTCCTCCTCCTCCTCCTCCTCCTCAGATCCTCAGCTCTTGAAGACAGTATTAAACAGTACGAGCAGGATCTGGCCAGGAAGTTGTACCAGTCCCGACAGTGGGCACCTGCTCCTGGGGCCAGGCCAGCTCAGATGTCTAGTCCAATGCAGAGTCACGCCTCAAGAATCCCTGGGTCAGGAAGCCAATCCAGGTGTGCACAGCCCCCTCCCTGCCAGCTGCATGCTCAACGGTCCTGTCTGTATCCCTACATCCTAACGCAGTGCTCCCAGCTGTGGCCTGCTAGGGGTAGGGAGAAAATTTTAGTGGTTGCTGGTGTTCATTTCCCTGAGGTCCCACAGACTACCGGCAGTTGTCTCAATGAGAATGAAGGGGGATGCTGGGTCTGTTTGATTGGGAGAAGAGAGCAGACATTTCTGAGGGCTGAGCCCACTTTTTCTTAGTTATTTCATAATCTCCTGATGGCTGAAGAGGGTTAAGATGCAACACACTGAGAACACAGAGGAGAGTAAAGCCCTGAGAATTAATCCTACTCATTCGAGCCCCTGCAGTTCCTTTCCCAGCTTGGGTTGCTCTCCCATCGTATATGGCACTTCTGGAAAGGCCTGCAGCTTCTCAGTGCGTTGATGCTTAGCTCTAGGCTCTGTCTGTTCAACACATATGATGGCATGTATGTTTCAGGATGACAGCAAACCAAGCTGTTCTCCTCTCCTGCTTTGAAAGTCTGTCTGCCTCAGGGAACCAAGGGTCCTTAATTCCGCCTTTCTGCACTCAGCCTGTTGACCGTGGTGCTAGGTGCAGAAGGAGGCATTATCTCTTATCAAGAAGGCAATGTCTGATGTCTTTTTCTCCCTCCCTCATTTCTGAGGCAGGATGAAATCCCTTGAACAGGATGCTCTTAAAGCGCAAATGGTTATTGCCAAGTCCAAGGAGGGGAAAAAACGCAGCACACTGGAGCAGCTGGCAGAGTCACCTTCACCTGTTCCTACCCCATCACCAACACCACTGGAAGGTACTGTATAGCTATCTCTATCTCTGAGAAAAAAAGTTAATGCTGCTTTAGCTTAACTTGCTTGAAAGCAGACCTCTGAAAGCAATTTCCTCCTTCAGCCTAGATTGGAAGGTCCTTTGGGACATACGACATCTCTCAGCATAGGGGATGGGCCTGATCTATAGAAAATGTGAGAGAACATCTGAGGTATGGTTCCAAGGAACCAGAGCAGAAATAAAACAAGCATCATGACTTTTTAAAAAAACAGGAAAGAGGCATTTGTTCTGAGAAGGCAGTGTCTTTCCTGAGCATAGTCTTTTATCACACTTAAAAGCTGCTAAATGGAAGGGGCAGATTCAGGGAAGTGTTGCACGTAATACAGCCATTCACTAAATAGTGCTTTTCTGTCATCTTTTGCAGATTGCAGTCCCAGAAACATCACTTCACCGGGAAGGCTGGTATGACATACTTCTGCTTGCTTTTGTTATCTTGCCTATAATCCTGGGATTTCTCAGTTAGCCAGTTTGGGTGTGGACTGTGCATCTGGGCCATGGGATCCCTACTTAAATACTTAAACCAGGTCTGGCTGCATGAATTGTGAAGAGGGCACAGTGGACGGAGCTCTGCCATACCCATTGCTAGAGGCATCCCCCCTTTTTTACAACTACGATGTAACATCTGTTTTCTGTTTCCCTGTTTTATTATTTTATCCTTTTCTTGGTTCTTCATCTCCATGTTCAGAAAGCCTTTCACTTCAGAGACTCTGTCCCCTTGTTTCCTCAACAGCATAAAACTGAGAACTTTAGCCGAAATCAGCATTTTCCTTTTTCTGAGCACTGCATAAATGCAACCGGACATTGTTGCAGAGAATTGTCAAAATTAGTAAGACAGACAAACACAAGAGTGGGAGCAGCTGCACTGAGAGGGGACCTGGTTTTGCCAACTCTGGATTGAAAACCTGACTGTGCTACAGCTATCAGGAATCTTGCCATGAATATTCCCATGAAAATAGGTTTCCTACCTAAATTGGTGTGCATGTGCATTTTACTGGAGCACATAATGTTTTCTCTGCAACTTGGAACCCCTGTTCTGACACCAGAACAGCTAAAAAGACAATGTCCCAGACATGCCTCATTTTCAGAGGCTGTATCCAGGGATTCTTCTAACTGAGAATGACGCTCTGCTTCTGCTTTTATCTCTGCATAGATTGCTCAGCTTGCTGCTGGTTTTCTATCCATTTTTCTCTCCTTACTCTCTCTTCTCTGTTTATTCTCTTTTGCTGTCCCTTCTAGTCCATGTCTGAAAAGAAGTTTGACTACCGGGAATTTGCTGCTATTCCTTCCTCCAAACCTGTTTACGAAATCCAGGTATAGACTGCATGCTGAACCATCTGTTAGATTGGTTAGGGCTTGATTTGGTGGAAGTGCCTGCACATGAAGTGATGACCTTCAGAGCAGAGGTTGAATGATTTGAGGAAGTCCTCTTCAAAGGCCCTGTCTGTGTGGGATGCAATGACAACCAGCCATGCTGTATAACTGAGGGTTTATTGGAGACTTCAGTCAAGTGGAATTGTGAAAAAGTTGGTCCAGATGGTTTTAAAATTAATGACAAAAGCTTTGCAAATATAAAGCAGCTACATCTTCACCTTAATTGATCCTGAAATATTTTTAAGTTAAAGATGAGAACTAAAAGGGAAGAAAAAACCATAGAAATTATTGCCAACAAATTGCAAATTGGAGCAAATGTTAACTTCAAACTGGAAGGTATCCAGCATCCTGCCCAAGAAGCAGCTGTGGTGACAACTCTCATATGTTGTAACTCTGGTGTAGATGAACTGTGAAGTAATCACGTGGTAAGAGAACACCAAGTTTCGAGGGTGAGAGCCATGGCAAGGTTATTCTCCTTCCTAAATGAACCTAATTTCATTTAAGCTGCTTTGTCATAGAATCACAGAACGGTTGAGGTTGGAAGGGACCTCTGCAGGTCATCTTGTCCAACCCTCCTGCTCAAGCAGGGCCACCTAGAGCCAGTTGCCCCAGGATTGTGAACTGTCTGTCTCTTATTGTCTGGGTTAGTCATTAACTGATTGTGTTTGTGACAGCTGATTTGATTAGATACTGTATGTCTGTAATTTTTTTTTTTTAGGGGTTTTTTTTTAGTTTTATGTAAAGACAATGAAGCAGATACCTGCAGTTAGGTTTGTATTGTGTGTGGAGAGCTAGCAAGTACTGACATGTTGGGCTTTAACTTGCTGTCATGACACAAAGATCCAAGGTCCAAGGTGTCATCCCCAAAGCCAGGCTGACTTTAGCAGAGTTGCAGTTTGAGGATTCTCAGGCAGTTATTCATTATTTGATGCGTATTCTTGGCTGACTCCTTTCACTGGTGGTATTGCTTAGCCCTTGGTAGTCACTCATCTTTTTCTCTAAGAATCCCTCCCCTTTTGGGGTGTGCACCTGTCCAGGTTCTGTACCAAGTGAGTCAGAGGGCTGGCCACGCAAGCCCCAGTGGCAGCTCTGGACTACCCAAGTTTCCCCAAGCTTCTGCTGAGGCCACAGTGCAGCCCTGGGTCTTCATGCAGCTGAGAAGATGCCTCCAAAGGAGGCTACACCTCCAAATCATCAGGCAGTTCCTCTGGACCTCTCTCAGCAGTGCAGTAATTAAGAGACTGTATTTTTTCCTGGCCATAGTCACACAACTATGTCACTCACTTTGGATCAGTGCAGTGCTATTTGACGGGGCTGTGTTCCTCACCAATGCATGCCGAAGTCATCACAGCCCCCTGTGCTCTGCTCTCTGCTGTTCATGAAGAGCATGACTTCTACCATACATTTGCTTTATTTCTAAAGCACTAAATGGGCTGAGATCATCTCCCCCTCTTTCCTGCCTCCTCCAATTTTGCTGTTTGCACAAAATAGGCAAGTTTATACGGAAATGAGGGCTTCTTGCACTCTTACAGCTGTGAAACTTCCCTAATGCTATCCATATGTGTATAGAGCCACCATCCTTTATCCTACAACTAAAGAAAAATTAAGCTACTCCTCACTTGTGCTCTTGAGCTGAGCAAGAAGACCCCTAAAAGATAGATTTTGATCAATAGTGGCCCAAACTTTCAGACAAGTTTGGCATTATTAAACTTGCTGAATACTGAGCTCTTCTGAAACCCTATCCCTACATTTGTATAGCTCAGAGAAGTGTTGAGCTCAGTGTAAGTATTGTGAACAAACCTAGAAAGAATAGTAGAAGAAACAAATGCAGCCACTTTTGAAATAAACAGAATACCTCAACAGAATACTTTGACCTTTCTATCCTTGAAGCACTGTATACAGCTAGATTAAATTCTCTATTTCAGTAAAATAAGTCGGGCTTGGGACATTTATGCCTGTCCCCAGAGTAGTGCTGATTTTCAAGCCAGATTAAGTTCATGACCATGAGCAAAGTTGTTTTCTTGTGGTGTTGTCACTCTGGTCTGATGAGCTACAGACAGCTGTGGTTGTTGGAATGGTCTTAACTTTGTGAAGGCTTTAAAATTAGCAGGAACTGGTGGAGTTTCATGATTATCACTTAGCCATTTCTCCAAAGCTGTCTCTGCCATCTGTTGGGATGTAACTGCTTCCTATCCCACGTCAGTTCTCTATACACACCTGAATATAAAGAAGAAAGTTGATTTTGCATAAGAAGGTAGGCCTGGGAAGAGTGCAGATGCAGAATTAGGATCCAGGACTCTCAAGGAAATGTAGCTCATGTCTTTGCATTCCTCCCATGTTTCTACTCATTTTCAGTAGTCTCTTCGCTTTCTGCCTTTCACGTCACTTCCTATCCTCTCCTCCCTACAC